CCTGCCAGCTCCGCCCCCGCCCTCCAGCTGCACCAGCTGCAGCTCCTGCCCCGTGCAGAAGGCGCGGATCTGGCACAGGTAGGTCATGACTATCAGCTTGTCCGGCACCGACAGCAGCACCATGTCCGCGGGCTCCAGCAGCCGGGACACGCCCAGGGCCGCGAAGCCATCGAAGGCCTAGGAACGGGGTGCTTGGCGTCAGCGGTGGCAGCCGGGGTTGGCGGTTGTTGCCCAGCTACGCGGTGGCCCCCCTGGACCGCCCGGGGTCCCCACGACCCGCATGCCAGGGTTTGCCTAGCAACGCCTTCACTCTCCTATTGGAGGAAGAGTAGCAACAGGGCAACGCTCATGTAACCCAGCAACTGCACACGAAGGAGTGGTTTTGGAAAAACCAACTAGTGGAAATATGCTTTAAAAACCCACACAACTAAACGATGGAAAATGAACAATTTCAATTTTAAAAGACCAAAAGGATAAAAGGTGGCAGAACTTCCAAAAGCCGGGGCTGGGGCCCGCCAGCCCAGATTCCTCTCCCACAGACACTGGGACCGCAATCCTGGACCTAGGCTCTAGTCTAGACCAGCGGTTCTCAACCTGTGGGTCGCGACCCCTTTGGGGGTCGAACGACCCTTTCACAGGGGTCGCCTAAGACCATTGGAAAACACATATATAATCACATATTGTTTTTGTGATTAATCACTATGCTTTACTTATGTTCAATTTGTAACAATGAAAATACATCCTGCATATCAGATATTTACATTACGATTCATAACAGTAGCAACATTACAGTTATGAAGTAGCAGCGAAAGTAATTTTATGGCTGGGGGTCCCCACAACATGAGGAACTGTATGAAAGGGTCGCGGCACTAGGAAGGTTGAGAACCACTGCTCTAGACCCTCCTTCCCGCCGGGCACTGCTCCCTCCCCAGCTCACCTGCTTGTTGTTCTGCTTGATGTTGAGTGGGTCGAGGGAGGCATAGTCGCTGTGGAGAGAGCTCTGGTCAGAGGCTGGTCCACACTGACCTCCTGGCGGGCTCCCCACTTCCTTCCCACCCCCTTTGGTGGCTCACATCTTGTCTGGGTAGAATCGGTGCAGGATGGCACAGAAAGCCAAACCGTTGCGCCAGGATGTAGTAAAGTTGGTGACTCGGACGCCCCGGTAGCCAGCGGTGACCTCCTGGCACCACTCCAGTAGGGACTGGCTGGAGCTGACCAGGGTAGGTAGTGCCTGGGGACACAGGGATGGGCTTAGGGAATGGGAACATGTGCCCTCTGCCCCTTGGGCATAAAACAGCCCCAGCTCTGGGTTTGTAGGAGACACCAGAGACCACTGGCCAGAGCTGTGGAGCCAGGCAAGAGTTTCCAGCTCTGGGGTTCTCTACCAAAGTCACCTAAGAGATCAGTGGCCCCCAGGCAAGACCAGAGGTCACAGCAGCCACACCTCAAGGTCAGCCCAGAAAAATCAGCTTAAGGATGTCCCACTCCATGCAGCCCAGGGAAGGCAGGGTGGGGGAGCCAGGGTATCCTGAGAGAGGAAGGGGTGAGGGGGCTCCTGGAAGCTGAGCCCGTCCCACCTCAACCCAGTCGACCAGGTGGGTCCATGCAGAGCCGCCGTTAGCTCAGCCCCAGGTTAGTGGAAAGCAGAAGACTGGGCCCTCGGCAGCCCCCATTCCCTACCTGGCTGCCGGGCAGCCTCCTGTCCTCTTCAGGCTCCTCTGGGGAAGAGGCCCCTGAGGGCCTGGGCACCCCAGCCCCTGCCCCACTGGCCACCTGCGTCTCAGTCAGGCCGGCCTCAGCTTCTCTCCCCTTCTCGGTTCCCAAGACCCCAGCCTCTGCTTCCTGGGCCTCAAAAACACCAGATTGGTTCTCTGGAGGACCTAAAGCTTCCACCTCTGCTTCAGGGGCTCCCCACACCCCAGACGTGGCCTCTGAAATCCCCAAATCCCCAGCCTCCAACTCCTGGACCCTCAAAACTGCAGCCTCTGCCTCTGCTCCCTGGGACCTTAAAACTCTATGCTTAGTAACTGGGGCCTTTAACGCCTCATACATGAAGCTCCCGCAGAGCCCCGCCTCTGCCTCCAGGACCCCAGAGACCTTAGCGTTCTCAGCCTCCAAAACGGTCCTTTCTGTCTGTTGAGTCCCCAGTCCCTCAGCCTCTGCCATTCCAACCTCTGGCCCTGAGTCCCCTGAATCCCCCATCTCTGTCTCCTGGGCCCCTGCTGTCTCAGTCCCCACCCCTGGGACCCCTGAACCCCCAGCTGCTACCTCCTGGGTCTTCAATATCTCAGCTTCCTCTGTCACAGTCCCCACCCCTGGGACCCCTGAACCCCCAGCTGCTACCTCCTGGGTCCCCAATATCTCAGCTTCTGCTGTCTCAGTCCCCACCCCTGGGATCCCTGAACCCCCAGATGCTACCTCCTGGGTCCCCAATATCTCAGCTTCTGCTGTCTCAGTCCCCACCCCTGGGACCCCTGAACCCACAGCTGCTACCTCCTGGGTCCCCAATATCTCAGCTTCCTCTGTCTCAGTCCCCACCCCTGGGATCCCTGAACCCTCTACCTCTGCTTCGTGGACTCTTGCTACCTCAGATTCTATCTCGGGGACCCTTGAACCCTCAGCTGTTTTCTCCTGGGTCCCCAGTATCTTTGCCTTTGCTGTCTCAGCCTCAAACCCTGGAACCTCAGAACCTGCTACTTCTGTTTCCTGGGTCCCTGATGCCTCAGATTTTATTGCCGAGACCCCTGACCCTCCCCCCTCTGTCTCCTTGGCCCCCAATATTGCAGGCTCTGCTAGCTCAGCTTCTATTCTCAGTACCCCCGAGCCCCCTGTTATCACCTGGGCCCCCAATATCTCAGTCTCTGCCACCCCCGTCTTTGTTCTCAGAACTCCTGAAGCCGCAGCCTCCGTTTCCTGGGTCTCCGGTTCCTCAGACTCTGCCATCCCAGCGGCTTCTGGCTCAGGGACCCCCGACCTCACTGCCTCTGTCTCCTGGGCCTCCAGCCTTTCAGCTCCTGCTGTCTTGCTCTCTATCTGTGGGAACGCTGACCCCTCTGCTTCTGTCTCCTGGGTCCCCAAAACCTCTGATTCCGTCATCCCCATCTCTGTTCCCAGGACGCTCAAGACCCCAGTTTCTGCCTCCCAGACCCCCAGATCCCTAGACATTGCCCCCTGGTCAGCTGTGGGTGGGGCTTCCTGGGACCTGCTCACCTGGGGCCTGGTGCTTGCTGCTCCAACAGAGGGGCCCTGCTCCAGGCCTGTCCCCCCAACACCAGAGGCCCCGCCCCTCACCTCTGCACCCTCTCTCTCCTGGCCTGCAGCAGCCCTGGACCCCTCGGAGTCACTGAGATGCCTGGAATGCCCTGCAGGTTCTGCTGGGGGTGAGCTCTGGACAGTAGGAGCCTCATCCCGGGTCCTGACCCCTGTCCTCCCCTGAGAGGCCCTCAGAGGAGCCTCAGGAGTTCCCCTGAACCTTGCCTCAGACATCACCCCTGCAGCCTCTGGTCCCTTAGTGTCCACATGTCTCACCTTTGACCTCTGCTCAGCATCCACTTGACTAACTTCTGAACTCTCTTCAGCCTCCCCAGTTCTGACCTCTGACCTCTTGGTGTTCACGCCTCTGGGTCCTGACCCCTGCTCAGTGTCCACCCCACTGGCCTCTGGCCTGTCCCCAATGGCACCTTCCTCAGCCTTGACTTTCTGCCCTTCCAAAGAGTTTCTGCAGCCTCCATCCTCAACGCCTGGGCTCGGCCTGGCTCCCTGGGCCTCTGTCCCTTCCTGAGGGCTTGCCTGGGCCTGGGTCTCCCCAGCAGAACCCACTCCTGCTGGGGGAGCCCCTGAGGCTTTGGGGGCCTCATCTTTCCCTTGGGGGACTGAGGGCCAGGGGGCATCAGAGCCTTTCCGGAGCCGAGGGGCCGGGATGGGGGCCAAATCCTGGTCTGGATGTCTTGAGGACCTGAGGAGAGAGCAGGAGGGGGCGTTGGAGGAGTCAGTGGCCCCCCACTCTCAGCCCCAACCCCCCTTCCCCTCAGATTGCTGGGGTGCAGGAGAGGTAGGTTGGTAGAGGGAGTGCAGCTTCCTAACTGGTCAGGGCATGGGGGTGGGGCTGGTTCCAAAGCTCACCTTGTCTCCAGTGGGGTTCCAGGGGGCCTTGGGGCTTCAGGCCCCACCTGGCCCCCAACTACAGTAGCTGGTTCTGACCCCTGGCCCCGGGAGGCCCTGGCTGGGGGCGCAGGGACACTCACAGGGGCTGGGCTGGTATCCTCAGTACTAGACGGGCTGGCAGCTGGGGAAGAAGGAAGGAGAGCGGTGCTGAGGCCTGGGCGCCATGACTGGAGGTCCAGTCCCCATCCAACCCCGGTCTAGGCCTCACCTGCCTGCCGGGGCTGTGCTCGGCCCTCCTCCTCCTCACGGAGTGTCTTCAGCTCTCGAGGGTGGTCTGGGGAAGGGTTTGGAGGGGCAGGTTCAGTTCAAGGCAGAGCCCTGAAGGTCTGACCCCCTCCCTCCAACTAGAGCGCTGGGCCTACCTGGGAGCCGCCCCGGCCTGAGGGCACCACCCCGGCCTGCGAGGAGAGACAGGCCCGAGAATGCAGAGAAAAAGAGAGAGAACCACGAGGACAGACAGAAAAAAAGCCTTAATAAGCTAACGGGAGGGATAAGGAAGCTGGCGACAAGCATAAGCGTGGGTGGTGAGGGGGGACTGCAGCCCCTCTCTGTGCCTTGGGCATAGTTGTTATAGGACAAGTACAAGGTGGGGGAGGCACCACCCAGGGGTGGAGAGGGCCAGGGGCACGGGGACCCTGAGAGCACATCCTGCAGGACTCAGCCAAGGACCCAGGCCACCACAGGACCAGGCGCCAAGCCTGGACAACAGGGTGGCAGGGCAGGTCAGAGCTGCCTGGGCAATAGCGAGCTCCCGTCACTGGGCGTGCACATGGCAAGTGGCTTATATATGGTCTTGGTGGTCAGTCCACGTCCACGGCCGTGAGCCCACCTGGCTGGGGGGCCTGAGCCCGAGCCTCAGGGGCCCCGGGACCATTAGCCTCCTCCTCGTCACTCTCAGCAAAGTCGTCCAAGTTGCCCACGTCACTAGGCTTCACGCTCATAAGGCTGGCAAGACTCTGCATGTCATCGTCCCTGGGGGTCAGAGGTCAGGAGTAAGGGCTGGGGTCGGAGATGGAAAACTAGGGCCAAGGAGGGCGGGCGGACACTCACGTGGCACGGCCCTCTCGCAGCAGCACCCCCGAGAGGGTGAGGCTCAACTCCGCGTGTACCACCTTCACCGACTTGGCCTTCAGCCGCAGCCGCAGCGGAACCTGGGCAGGCACGGGCCCCGCGTGGCGGGCCAGGTCCACCTCGGCTGAGGCCAGCACCTTCCGCTGCCCCTTGGATTCCTGTGGGCCAGGGGGAGGGGCTGGAGGAATGAGCACAGTGCTGCCCCAGAGCCCCCAAGACCCCAGCCCCCAGCCCACCACAGGCACTCACATTTTCAATAACAAACGTCCACTCTTTGGCCTCATACTGGTCCACGTGGGGGTCCTGGGAAAAGGGGGCACAGGTGAGCACAGGGGCTGCTGGGGGAGGGGCGGGGCCGGCTCAGAAGGTGTTGGTTGGGGCCTTCCCACGTGCTGGTCCATCCCGCCTGGGCTGCCCCTAGCTTCTCCTGATCCCGCTGTCTCTCCTAGAGCCGGTGGCAGGTAAATGTGACCCCCTCCAAGGGACCTCCTGGCCACTCATGCTGAACAGGCAGGCCCTGCTGCAATTCTTGGTCTCACCAGTCTTTCCTCTTTGGAGTGACAGCCCAGCAGGGGAGCCCTGTGGTTGCCTGGGGCTGTGATCGCCAGCCCAGTCCCTTCCATGTGGAGGGGGAGAGACTCACCCTGTACAGGGTCACGGAGATGTCCACATTCTCAGGTACCATCCACACCACGGTGCCCCGGTAAGGGTTCTGGATGCCCGGCTGCCAGCTGTGGGCCTACAATGAGCAGTCTGAGTCCTCCCCCAATCTTAACCCTTCCCCTCCCCCTTTGCCCTTGTCTTCAACTTTGACCGCATCTTTCTCTCCATTCTGTGGATTCTTGATCTGAACCGGAGTCCACGACCCCATCAGCCCTCACCCACTTTACCCACACCCCCTCACTGGCCCCACCCCTAACCTGTATCCCCAGCTAACATCTCCCCCACCTTGGAGCAGATGCGTCGGTTCCGCCGGGTCCACACCACCACCAACTTATCCGGTTGCCTGGGAAGGGTGGGGGAGAAGCGGGGGGCTGCTCAGTCAGGCTGCCCAGCTTCTCCATGTCCCCCAGGGTGTTCCCTCTGCCCTCATTCCCCTCCCCCAGGAGAGGGCATGGACAGCCCCTTATCTGAAGCCACAGGGAGCAGGGTGGGGCTGCTCAGGCAGGGTGGGGCCCAGGGCAGAAGGGCAAAGGCCCCATGTAGGTCAGCAGGATCATGAAGACAGGGAGCAAGGGGCCGGCACACAGCAAGGACCCTGCTGGAGGCACAGCCCAGGCTGAAAGACGTCCCTTCACTCACAATATTTGTGAAGTGCTTCTTAGGGGCAGAGCAGAGCAAAGCAGAGGCAGGACCCCTCTGGGCTCAGAACAACAAAGGTGGGGGGAGAGTGCTAACCAAGAAGAAAAAGACATTAAGCTGACTTCATGTCGTGCCTGCACCGAGTCCCCTCAAGTTGGATGTGGGAGCAGAGGCATGAGTGGGGGAGGGATGGGCTGTGAGGGCTCCAGGTAGAATGGTCAGTGCAAGGTCCAAGTTTGGGGGCAGGGGTGCGAGGTGGTCAGAGAGTCAGAGGGTCCACTGTTTTTAGACCCCCTCCCAGGGCCTGCTATGCCCAGTCCTTTGCTGGGCCCAGGGACCCGGCCCTGCGTCCCACCTCTCAAACCCAGAGCCCTGGCCCCTAGCTCTGCAGGGCGCCTGACTCCTGTGAGGGGCCTCGAGGAAGACCTCCAGGTTCTATCTGAGCTGAACAGCACAGCAGGGCAGGCGCAGAGGGCGGGCAGCGATGTGAGGAGTCAGAGACACGCCAAGAGGAGAGTGTGCAGGGCCCAGTGCCGGGCACGGAGCTAACACATGCTGGGCCGTGGAGGAAGAGGCCCCTTTGGGTTAGAGGGTCCACTGCTGCCCAGGAGGGTGGGGTGGTTGAGGGCAGCAGGAGCACCCTCCTCGCCTGTATCCAGCCCCCTGCCAGGGCACTTGAGCTCACCCAGTTCACTGCCCCTCTGGAGTTTGAGCCAAGATAAATGGCTCACTTGTCAAACCCTGAGGAGGCTGAGACCTGGAGAGCTTGGGGGGACAGCAAAGGTCACCCAGCTGACCCTAGAGCCTCAAGCTCCTCTCCCCAACCCCAAACAGCAGGGGGTGGCTGAGCAGGGGTATCCATGGGGCCTTCCCAGAAAGGGGAAGTGGGCAAGGGGTGCCTAGGGAGGGCGGGGCCTGGCCAAGCTGTCTGACTCAGGCTGGGCACGCCCTCCTGGGAGCTGCGACCTGGACAGGGGCAGCTTCCTAACCTGGGCTCAGAAGCCCAGGAGGCCCTGACTGCCCGCCCCCCCGCCCCCCCACCGTGACTCACATGCGCTGACACTGCCCACACCCTTGGCCTGCTCTCCGGGATCATGTCCAGTATCCTCTGACCTTACCCAGGGTGCCAGGGTAGAAGGTAGAAGCCAGAGACCAGAGTCCCCTCCCGTACCAGCCCTGTGCTGTGCCACCCCGGCCAGCCCGTCTGCTCCGGGCCTCGCTGAAAGGGCTGGCCCAGGCAAGACCAGGAATATGGCAGCTACCTCGGGGACCCCAAGGTCCCTTCCTGCCCCAGCAGCCCTTCCTCCTGGGAGCCTAAATTTAGCCTGGCGGGTAAGGTCCCCTCAGCTGTGCCCTAATCCAGCCAAGGGAAGCTGACACCAGTGAACACATATATTTAGGGTGTGACGCAGGGGCCTAGGCAGCTGTGGAGAATGCGATACCCCTGGGTCCTCTGGCACCCCCACGTGTCTCCCCCACCCCACTGCCTTGCCCTCTCCAGGCCTCCTCTTCCCGGACCCACAACCTTGGAGGCCCCTTTAAGCCGCTCCCGCCTCCCTCCTCATCCCTCCCAGTGCTGTTTCCCCTTTTAAGGACATTGTGGAGATGAACCCAGCCTCCCAGAGCCCAGTCTGGGGGGGGGGGGGGGTTCTCTGGCTCAACAAGTGGGCAGGGGAGGAGGGGATAGCATCCTTGTTCTGAGCTGGACTGAGGCCCATGAAGGCTTCTGCCCCAGCCTGGCTGCCGGCACCTCCAGACTGGCCACCTTGAACCACCCCTCCGGCCCCAAACATGAGGCCTCCCTTCCCCCCAGCCCTGAGCGCAGCTGAGGGAAGTGTGGGCGCAGACAGTCTCAGGCCGGAAGTCCTGACTCCACTCCCTCAAGGCTCCCACACCCCCAACTCCAGGGGTCCCACAAGCTGCAAGGGCTCTTCTGAGCGTCTGTGCCTGGACAGCAGGGGCCGAGCCAGGGTGGGGGCCACTGTGGTCCTTGCGCTGGGGACGGGGTTCCCTCGGCTCCGAAGGCTGGATAGGGTCCCAGCCGGGGGTCCGGGGCCTCCGCCCACTCACCATTTCTTGGTGCACTCCACCACCAGCTCGTGGTAACAGGCCACGAACTGGAACTTGGCGGCCCGTTTGCCCACGCGCTGCAGGCGCTTCCACACCGAGGTCATGGCCCCGCCGCCCCGCTGCTCACAG